TTGGACTAGGTGTTATAATTTTCATCTTGGGTTTCAAAATTTTCTCTTGAATTGAATAATTTGAAAAGACCAAAACTCAAAAACAAAAGATTAAAAAGAAGGGAAAATTTCATATTTGCATCATTACGAAACAAAAATTCAGATAATATTATATTACGTTTATAATCCAAAAAAACACTATTAGGATTGGTAAATAATTTAAGAAATACTGCATACCAAATTTAGATTTCAAACAATGGTGAACTGACCTTTTTTCAAATCATCCTAACATAATTACTCCAAAAAATCAATACAAAATTCATAATTCATAATGGACAAAAGGTACCCAAACCAGGGTCAAAATCTGGTTTCTTTCTTATCCAATATCAATCCATAAAGAAAATAAACATTGTTGCATAAACGTATATTCCCTAATTGATATCTTCCATATTACAAGGAAATGTTGCTGGAATTATTATGTGATTTAAGTATATATAATTCGATTCGACTTTTAGATTCTCCAACTCCAATTTGTCATATGAAGTATGGTTTCACAATTCATATGTAGTATTCTCAGTTCATATTGATTTGAATGAAATATACGATGGCATATATGTTTCTGATATTAAAATTGTAATTGAATTTTCTTAGGGTCCTCTGTTCGACTGTGTATTTATAATTTAAAAATTAATTAGGACCTAAATCTTTCCATATTCTAACTTTGGATATTCATTGTGTTACCCAAATTCAAAATTATATGCTGTTGATTTTTTGTCGTAAATCAGATCGTGAAATAACACAGTTAGTTGAATATGATTTAATTGTAGTAAAGGATGTATTTGGTGGAGTAAAATCAGCCCATAATTGATTATCATGAATGAGTTAAGTGATATTCCCCTTTTCTTTTTTACTACACTTCTAAAGTAATTTTGGAAAAAAAAAAAATTACATAGTAAAATATGAAATTTTATTAAATTGTATGTAAGCGCGTAATTTCCACCAACAGGAAAGAAGTGAATGAATTGGACTGGGCCCAAAGGCCTGTACTAGACTCCATTGGGCTCTGCCCCTAACTAACTAACAATTGCATCTTAATTATTCAGGTAAAGGATATATATATATGTCTTTTAAATACTGGTGCTTAACTTGTATTAAGTATCGATAATATGGCACATCATTTAATTGGTGAATGCTATAAATGCTTCAGCTGTAGTACTTTCAATGTCTACATCTGTATCCGTAAATTCGTGTAGTTTATCATTTTGAAAATGCTAATTATATTGTCAGCACAATTTTTATTTCTGGCACTACATTTTAATTGCACTTAAAGTTCTTAATCTTTGATTATTATAATACTTATGTCCCTAACGAATTTTCACGTCATTCTTATTCTCAAACTTTCCATTAGTTAACGCATTTTGATTTTGATAACAGTTTTATGTCGAAAATTTCGTTGAAATAGTGTAGTATAACTCATTTTTCCGTCATATTTTTAAAAATAAATAATTAAAAGGTGCAAAAAATATTTTTCCCTCATTTCAAATCATGAAAATAAAATATTTTGATATAAATCATCATCAAAGATGGATCATGCTAATTAATAAAATGTTGAAAATAAAAATTCGATTGAAAAATTTAAGAAAATAATTGCTACAACGTGCAGAGGTTGAGGAGTTTAACTGTAATTAAAATGTTGTGTAATAAATAATAATTGTGTTGTCAATATAACCACTCTTTTGAAAAAAGTATACATAAGCATTGGTTCAACACTAACTTTCGAGGTCTTCAGTGAAAACATCAAATGTCTACTAGCATCTAAAATTTCTTTTTCTCGAGCCGTTGAATTCTAATTTTGGCTTTAAAACTATAGATGATGTAATAATACTTTCTCCACAGTTCGAACAAACTTCGATTTCAAAAGTAAGTAAAATTGGAGTCATCGAAACATGGGGCTCTTGGAAGGCAAGGATTTATTCTTGGAAGGCAAGGGAACATTTGGAAGGCAAGGATTTATTCTTGGAAGGCAAGTGGGAACTTGGAAGGCAAGGATTATTCTTGGAAGGCAAGGTGCAACTTGGATTGGCTTGCTTGGCACTTTGTCAGATCAGGTGGGGAGCGCTCGGACCCTGGCCAGTCGGAGGCACATCCTACGATTAATCGGACTGTGTGAAGAGGGGCCGGATCACAGACCCAAGGATTAGTCAAGAATTGGACACCTTGTTAAAAAAAAAAAATATATATATATCTAGCAACCAAAGACAGATGTTGAAGGTACTAGAATGCCTATTGGATGTATAATTATACAACATACACTGGAGTGATTTTAGATGTAAAATAAGAGAACAAGTTCCTAGAGATGTTAATAAACTAAAATACAGGGGTGTAATGTTATCGATTTTCAACTACTTTATGACGATAAAAATTTCTCCAATTTTGGACTTCTTCAATTTTATAGATACATGAAAGGAATATATGATGCTCTGTTGCTTTGACATAGATTTTCATTCAAAAGATCTTGGATTATCAAATTTGCACAGTAGAGTACCACGTGAAGATGGATTTTATGGATGGTTGGCTACAGAAGCCGTCTATACATTTTAAGGAATCACAAGCTGTAAATTGAGCATCGAAAGAGACATTATCTTTACCGTACAACTTTTTAAGCAAGAGGCAACTTATCAGATGTTGATACCAACAGTCCGAGGTAGAAAATTAACTCAATAATCAAACACCATCTTCAACACCTAATTCACAAAGCAAACGACCAAAAGGTATAATTTTTACTTATAACATTTTTATTACTCTATTAGCCCCTATTTGAGCTCTATAAATTCTAAAATTCATTTTTTACTCTTTTCTTTTCAACCACACATTCTCCAATAAAATAATATTACACGTAAATTCAAAACTTTTCTTTCTTTGTAAACCCCACGTTCTTTAAAAAATCAATATTACAAAATACATTTTTTCCAAAAATTTAATTATAGTGGAGCTCAAACAAGGGCTTAAAATGCTTTAGTATTACATAAGTCATATCGCATGTCATAAACGATATCTTCCATTTGGTTGAAGATAGCCATCAAAATCAAACAAGAAATTCAAACAATAAAGGATGCAATGCAGAGCTTCAGACCTCATCAAATAATTAAAACTTATCCGTCAGTGCCATAATACTTTGGTATATTTGTCAGTGAACACAACTTAAACATATTCTAAAACCAACTTTTGCCAAGGTAAAAAACAAATTCTTCTCATTTTCAAACTGAAGAATATTGTACTTGATCATCAACGTGTATGCCTATATTCTTATAGTGTATTATGGTACTTCGATAGTATCAAATGTCCAAATAAGTCAGCTTATAGAGCAGTTCATGATCATACATTAGTTGTGTTACAAGAACATCATAAAGGATCATGCAAAGCGTAGTAGTGTATTTCTCGCCTATCGAACTCTATAATGATTTGTTTTCAAATTCTTATTCCTTCACTCTAATCTCAATAGGAGTAACATGACAATTGAATTAGTAGTAAATTAATTGAAAAGCACTAAGTACATAATATTCATTTGAAATCAAACACATGCTTTAATGTCAAAATATGAAATTAAACATCAAAACTTTAAAAATAGGGTTCAACATTATTGTAGCATTTGTCAAGCATCAAATTAATTACTAAAAACAAAATTGAAAAGATATATATATATATATATATATATATTATTTTTGAATTCTTGCATTTATGAAATGTTAAATTAAAAGTTAAATTTTCTTATCATAAGCAATAAGACATAAACATACATTCTTACACCATCGTTTAAGTAATTGTTTATTAACACTACAAGAATCTAACATCTGTGGATTGTGGAATTTCGACTTTCTTGTTATTACAGTTGACACATGGACCACTGCAATAGTAATTGCAAAATAGTTTAGCCATGGACAATAATGTAATAAACATTACTACCCGCGTAGTAAATTATATACAAGATAGTCGTTGAAATTCTAAACATTACTAGAAAATATAGGTGTGTAATGTTGTCAATTTTCAAATACTTTAGGCTATAAAAGTCACTCCGGTTTTGAACTGCTTCAATTTTCTGGAAACATGAAGGGATTACATGATGCCCTATTGCTTGGCATAGATTTTCAATCAAAAGATTGTGGCTTATTGAATTTGCATGGTAGAGTATCATGTGAAGAAGGATTTTATGGATAGTGGGCTGCAGAAGCTGACTATAAATTTAATGGAATAATAGGCTATAACTTGAGCATGGAAAGAGACATTATCTCTACCATACAAATTTTTTTGCAGAAGGCAACATGTCACATGATATATACTCAACTATATGAGATAGAAAGCTAACTCAACGCTCAAAAATTTTGGTGGAATACAAATCAAAACTCACACCATCTTCAACACCTAATCCACAAAGCAAACAAAAGAGGTATAATTTTTATTTTAAATGAAAGTATGCGTATAGTTTATTAAATTATGAAGAATCTTCTTTATTTACTTAGCCTTTGTTTGAGTCACATTATTTTCATAAGAATGTATTTTTGAATAGTGTATTGATGAGAAATGTGTGATTAAAAAATAAGAAAAAATTTTGAATTTGCATGTAATATTATTTTATTGAAGATTGTATAGTTGAAATGATATCAAATCGTTGTTTAAAAATGTATTTTTTTGATAGAATGTGGATCAAACAGGGCCTTAATCTTTCAAATCAGGTATCTATTCCTCAATGGATAACATACCAAAATTGTGAACCTTCCAAATAGGATGGGAACTTATTTTTATTAACAGGAGATTATTCTCTTCCTAATTTAATTCACATTTTCCATAATCCATATGATAAATGAACCTACGTACACACCAAGAGTTGTGTACTGAAAATGTCTCCAAGATTTATTAAGGAATTTGTAATTGCTGATATCAATCAACAGATTGCAGGTTACCCCCCAAAAAAACATGGAAGTATTTTTTAATCAATACACAGCTAATGGACTTGTTCTAGCTACTGCTCAGTAAATGGAAAATTTATTAAATCACAAATTAAGCATATCTTTCGTTTATCCTGAAGGAAACACTAGAATAGAACTGAATTAAAAGTTGGGGAATAGGAGTACATGCCCTTTAATTTCAGTAACATTTTAAATGACTCAAATCGATAACCAAGTTTTATTTCATGACACATTTCAGAATGAAGCACGAAAAGCTGATAACCTCTAAAGTACGGAAGGGAAGCCATCCATTTCTTGAGTTTTATTTTTATTTTTCTTTAAATTTATGATGCATTATGCATGGTGATCCTTCAGGTGAATTCCATGGCTTCCTTCTGCCTTTCGATTGATAGAGAGATGAACTCCTGGATTTTGATGAGTGGAAGAACCATTGAAGAAAATGGAATTGTTTACTCCCTGAACGTTGCTGTTCACATATGCAGTCATTGGTGGTGATTGCATTACTATTGCATTCTTATTTTTCTCCTTGTTTGATCTTCCTTCTTCATCACTGCCCGATTTTTCGCCTTCGCTCTGAAGTTTAGCATAATTTCCATTCTTCTGAAGGCTCTGAGGATTGGTAGCATGCTTTTTATTGCGGGAAGGATTTAATTCCATTACAGCTCCTTTGTTTTCACCTGCAAGTGTTATAAAACTCATACCCAACTTTTCAGAATCAGAATTTTTCTTGTTTGGAACTTTTTCTTTTGGTAACTCTTGCTTTCCGTTGGAAGCAATGCTACTGCAATGTAAACTTGTTGGCATTAGCTTTGGTAATTTTTCGATGGTTTCATGCATTAGCACGTCCTTTTGGTGGACTTTAGTAAGTATCCTTGATTCATGCTCGCTGTCTGACTTAATTTGAGAGGGAGGTAGTATGAATGGAGATGGTGGAGGAGTTTCTGGCTTCGGTTTAGGGGAGTGGACCGGAGTTTTTTCCAATGGTTTGACAGTTTTAGGAGATGATTCAAGGCCTGCAGTTGAAACTGGTTTTGGCACTGGAGAAGCTGACATTGAAGAGGATGAAGCTTGTCTTTCTCTTTGAGGAGATTTGCGAATTGGAGAAGATGGAACGCGAAGATTTGTGGTTGTCACTGGTTCTTTTGGGACAGGAGATTTTGATGCAGCAGCAGTAGTGGGGTCCCGAGCTGGCGATGAAGCCAAATGCTTTGGTGAAGGGGCTGCAGTTGGGGGTGCTGAAATTGGAGACCTTCTTGGGGTTGAAGGCGCAGGAACTGGTGGTGCAACAGCGGACCTCGGTGGCGAAGTTGCAGCGGGCGGGGGTCGAGGAGTAGGCTCCAGAGGCGGCACTGCTGGTGTCCTCGCCAGTGGACGAAATGGTGGCCGTGGCTGCGGGGGTTGGATTGGAGGTCGTGCAGGAGGAGGAGCTGGCTGTGCAATTGGAACAGGTGGTGCAACAGGTGACCTCGGTGGAGATCTAGCCGGTGCAGGTGGTGCAGCAGCAGGAGGTGGTGATCGAGGTGGTGCAGGTGAACGGGGAGGCGGAGGAGTAGGCTCCTGAGGCTGTGGAGGTGGTGAAGGTGAACGCGGAGGCGGAGGAGTAGGCTCCCGAGGCTGACTTACCTGAGACGGCGCTACTGGTGGCCTTGCAGGCTGACCAAATGGTGCCCGTGGCTGCAGGGGTTGGACTGGAGGTGGTGCAGGAGTAGTAGGAGGAGCTGGCTGTGCAACTGGGGTAGGTTGAGCCATAAAACGGAAACGAGCCCATGCTGGACGAGGTTGTGCCATTGCAGTACGCAAAGATATGTTTTTCGGATACAATGACAAAATCTTTGATGCATACTCTTGTATTTATATAGTCTTACAAACTTGAAATTCACCCACACGAAAAAAATAAAAATAGAAGGAAACTGTAAGAAAAGTATCAGATTCAGTAATAAAAGTTCTTCAGTCAAGGTTGGTATTGCCTCTACGAGGGGTCACTGAAGAGTAAAGTGCACCATTTTTGGGCTAATATTCAAGTTATCACTTTACAATCTCTTCAGCTTCACACAAGTTCCTCTGTTACAACTAAAGCAAAATAGGGAAAAGCAGATACAGAATAAACGCAAGGGATTTTAGCCACATTCAGGTCAGTTATAAACTGTAGTCGACTCCAAAATGCAGCCTTCATTCTGCCCATTGAATAAAGAATAAAATGTGATGAATTGACATATTTAAAAAGATGGACGTTAATAATTTTTTTCTTATATAATAATGAATGTAATTCTATGTGCATATTGCGGCTACAAATGCTGCTCTCCTCTAGAACAATCGCAGAAGACATTTGCGGATGCTATTTCACTATTTTTAACATGCGAAACATGTCATCAGAATCTTAATAGAGACAATTCAAAATGAAAATATAAGATCAACTTGCATAGAAATGGAAAAGGGAGATGAAATACTGACATGACACTCGACATAATGCACGAACAAAATCGAGGGCTGGACCCATGATTGCTTGATGTGTCGAATCAGTGGCGAATGCAGACATTTTGAGTTAAGGAGAATAATAAAAATTGCAAAAAAGCTGTGTGAAAATATTAAAGCATTTGATATCTTATTATAATTGTTCTCTAAGTGTTTTCATATTTTTGATAATTTTCCATAATTATATCATTTTCGAATACAACAATAAGCTAACTCGTATTGTAAATACATTTAAGGTCTAAGTACCTAAAACTTTTACATCATTATGTTCGTCCAAATGCGCTACATTTATTAAAAAGTGATGCAAACAAAATTTTCGTCCCTAGTAGGCCATGTTTAGTCTATATTCGCTTCGAACTTCGTTGTTAGGTTTTCTAATACAAAAACAAAATATTAAGTCTTATAGTCAATATATTTGAACTCGGGTCGATAAATTTGTTTTTATTAAAAAGAATTCACTTTTTTTCAGAAAACTATATATTAGTGAATCCAATTTTTTTAGGTTGCTTACTTGCTACATCTTTTATATGCCTTTTAGTATACCTTTGCACAGTAGAAATCTATTCTATTCCCCAGCCACATAAAATTTGAGTAGCTATCTCTCAAATTTCCTCTTCAGCAATTTTTTTTTTTTTTTTAAATTTTGAGAATAGATAGTTCCATCATAGTTAAAAAAGGGTTTTGAAAATTTGTAGAATTAATGGAAATATTGTCATGGGATGCAGAGTCGTCTTCCTCGTACATTTTGCGCTTCTTTCTTCGTACATTTAACCAAATTTTCACAATTTGTGTGGCAAAAGGACAGCATTTTTCTTTCAAAATTTGAAATTGAAAATGAAAAAATAAATTAGGTTTGAAATTTTAGGTTAGTCAGGCTGGCAATATTAGTTATGGACCATGTTGTGTGTACACCATTAGTTATTGTATATCGCATGAGAAGATTAACATCAAAAAAATTATGTTAAAATGACAAAATATGTAAATGTTGGAAACTGACAAGTGAGATTTCAATGTTTCGGCAAGAATTCACGACAAGATGTCCATAGAACTTTTACCATCACAACATATATATCCTCTTTATTACTATGCAAACATACGTTTTAATTTTTACAACCCATTATTTCAAATTTATGGAAACAAAATAAAAAGAAATATACAAGTTTCAAAAATATATGAAATACTAACTTCAGTATGCTCTTTATAAAAGTTTGAAATAAATCATTGTTCTTCAATTAATGATTGATTCTGCAGCTTAATTCTCTTCAATGAAAATTTAATAGAAAATTATAATTCTTCACAAATAATTGATAAAACTAGGTTTAAATAGTGTCAGTGGAGTTTTGGAATTTCAATTAAAAGATAGGACGCTTTATTTTTTAGTTTTCAAGATGCTTTCTAAAGTTTCCGAAGAAGAAACGTTAACTTTGTAACGGTTTGGTATATCAGTCTCCAAGTAAAGTGATTCAATGTGCTCATTGTTAGATTGTGTCGGAGCTAAATCTATAATTGTTCCTTCGAATGCAAGTCAGTTTAATATTATGTTGCGTACTTTTCTCTTGTACGATTTTTTCTTGTAAACCGATTTCATCATAATCAACAACCGTAGCAGCAAAAGAGGGTGTAAGCTGTCATTGAGATATGAACTTTTATAAATCTTGTGTCTTTATTTTTTTTTACTGAAAATTGATTGCTCTCCGTTTAATATGTTGCTATGGTTTTTAATTCTCTAACACTTATTCCCTAAGAATAGCAGATGCTGGGATCGTCCCGAAACCATTTCTCAATGGTACATTAACATTGCGCTAGTGGAAACGAATAACTTTCTTTACTCGCATTAACATGAGAAATCTATACATTAGAATCGTAATGAGGACAGTTGAAAAAAAATAATAATAATCATTTTTTCTGTTCATTGATATTCTCTCAACTTTAATTTTGTTGTTCAGTTGCTGTTTGAGTCTTGACTTTGCTTGCTAAAATATGATTCTCTATCTACTTTTCCTTTTTGAAATATTGGCTTTTGAGTTGGCTTCCAAGTACGGTCATCCCATCCTCTTTGAAATGACATAGTTTCACCTAAATAACACTTATAGGAGGGTGAATAGGTGTTTATATGAATTTTAACCAATCAATTAATAATTACAACAAGTCACAGTTATTAATTTTGTTCATATTAATTCACATGCATTACTACCCTATGTTAAACTACCGTAAAATAGTAAATTGCAGAAAATTAAAGAACACAACAATTTGATGACGGAGAAAACCCCTTATGGGATTAAAAACTCCGGGCCCAAGCTTGTATGAATCAACTATAAATCTTATAGTCCGCTAAACTCAATCAACACTAGTTTTTCTGACCTCCTAACTGTAATTCTCCAAAACCCTCCTGGAATGCGTGCTCCTGAACCAACTCTCAGGTCTTGATTTCGTCTATCTCCTGTGAATTCTCGAGAACTCTCCGTTCTCTAGCGATTAGAACTTCGATCTCCTTCTTTAATTTTCAAATCTCGACAGATGCTCTAGAATGATAGGGTTTGGTGTTTGATGGATGCAGATTTTTTTATTTTACTTTTATTTTTATTTATTTATTTTTTTTAGAGAGTGCAACAACAAGATTGTGGGATTCAATGAATGCAGCAAAGTGTACAATGCAATCTCCTAGTTCAATCCTCTAAAAATGAAGGAATACGGCACAATAGAATATATAGGACATGTTTTGGCTAGTGTGGACCGGGTCAAAATCTCGAAAATCAACTTAACGCTCGTACTCTTGGGTATCCTTGTGTGCTTTTTTACTATCTAGCCCAAACCTCTTGACAAGGACTTTTGCATACTTTGATTGAGAAATGAACAGCCCATCGTCTGTTTGCTTCACTTGAAGACCAAGGAAGTAGCTCAACTCTCCAACCATGTTCATTTCAAATTCTTGTTTCATGTATTCAGCAAATTCATGAACAACAGAATCAATGGGAGAGCCAAAAAATGATGTCATTGACATAAATTTGTGCTATAGTTATGGTTTCTTCAATACGCCTAAGAATAAAGTTTCCGTCTGCACCACCTCTTGAAAATCCACGATCAACAAGGTATGCAGTGAGTCTATCATACCAAGTTCTAGGAGCTTGTTTCAGACCATGCAAGGCTTTATTCAGTTTATAGACATAATGAGGAAACTTAGGGTCGATGAACCTTTTAGGCTACTCAACATCTGCCGGGTCAAGATATCGAAAATCACAAAATAAGGTTTCTCCATATAACATTGTCGCTCGAGCGAAATACCAGTAAAAAGCGAGCGACGCTGTTTCACTCGAGCAAGGCAGGGGTGATAGGCTAGCGATATCCTCTTTGTTTTTTACACTTGAGCAATCTCTTGGCGAGCAGCTAACGAAACTTCGACGACATTTCTTTCCTTTTCCCAAACTCAAACATTAAACATACTTTTACGAAATTGCAACATAGTCCCCGACTTTGAAATATAGACAAATTGACCCTTAATTTTTGAACAATTACAATTTGATCCTTTTGTTCACAAAATTGCCAACTCAAAACCTAACACTCTTCATCATATTCATGCAATCTTAAATTCAAATTTACTAGTTATGTATGAAATTTAAAATATGTAACACAAAAGAGAATTTGGTTTGATTTATGCTAAACTAATAAATAAAAAAAGCTATAAAATTGTGGTTCTTATCAATTTATGAATGACTGCATTGCAATTCGAATCCGTCTATTGCTATCCATTTCAATTCTCAATTATGTAATTTAGTCATATTCATGCATCCTTGATAAAGCTAGTGTGTTTAACTTTTCTTTTTAAAGATAAATTAACTATATTCTAAACATGACCAGAGTCTATTCCTAGCCCAAATTCAAATGATTAGAACACATTAGATTTCAAATTATCTATATAATCGCACTTGTAATAAATGTTATTCCTAAAATCTATAGCACTTATATTAATTTTGTCACGCTATAAACTTATTGTAAGTCTTCCAATATTACAACAAGCAATTAATTTTTTCTATAGCAAGTGTACAACCTTTGAGCTCGGATTATCGTTCCCACGAGGGCTATAAATTAATATTTAATATAATATTTTTAACTCCTATTTGATGAAACAGAGAAAATTGCGATTTGTTGTAATTTTTTATCTAAGTACTTAAAATTAGCAGATGTACACAAAGATTGGGTAGAATTTAAATATAGAATGGATATTAAGGCAAAACAATTTCATCTATTGATAAACTTTAGATTTTAATTCAAGATTCATAAACTAATGTAGTGTTCGATTGAATTCTTCTATTGTATTCAATTTACCCCTCTTGACTTCT